CAAACATAGGGTACATGTACCTTTTCGAATAGTGTTTTTGTTTTCTTCATGGAAATACCCAGAAGTGGTATTACAGGATTGCATGGCAGCTCTATTTTTAGTTTTTTTGAGGAAACACCATAGTGTTTCTCATAGTGGCTGCACCAATTTGAAATCCAGTCAATAATGCACAAGGGTTCCTTTTTCTCCACGTCTTTGTCAACACTTGCTTTTTATTGATTTTTTTTATGATAGCAATTCTGATAGGTATGGGGTGGTATTTTATTGTGTTTTAATTTGCATTTCCATGATGATTAGTGATGTTGAGCATCTTTTCATATATCTGTTGGCCATCTGTATGTCCTCTGTGGAGAAATGTCTGTTTAGGTCTTCTGGCCATTTTTTTTTTTTTTTTAATTGGATTGCTTATTTTTTTGGTGTTAAGTTGTATAACTTCCTTATATATTTTGGATAATAACTATTTTGGATGTATCATTGGTAAATATCTTCTACGATTCAGTAGACTGTCTTTTTTGTTGTTGTTTATGGTTTTCTTAAGTGTGTAAAACTTTTAAAGTTGGATGTAGTCTCATTTATTTTGCTTTTGTTACCCTTGCCTGAGGAGACATTTCTAAAAAGATATTGCCAAGACCAATGTCAAAGAGTTTATTGCCCATGTTCGCACTAGAACTTTTATAGTTTCAGGCTTACAGTTAAGTCTTTAATTAATTTTGAGTTTATTTTGTTTATGATATAAATAGTCCAGTTTCTTTTCTTCTTTTTTTTATGGCATTTATTTATCCAGTTTTCCCAACACCAAGATTGAAGATGCTGTCTTTACCCCATTATATATCCTTGCCTCCTTTGTTATAGATTGTCTATATAAATGAGGATTTATTTTTGGCTATTCTATTCTATTCTATTCATCTATATATCTGTGTGTGTTTTTTAATGGTTGTACCAATGCTGATTATTGTAGCTTTGTAGTACAGTTTGAAAGCAGGAAGCATGATACCTCCCACTTTACACCACCATTCCAGTTTCTGTGTGTGGATCTGGCTATTCTAGATATTTCATATAATTGGAATTATATAGTATGTGTTCTTTTGTGACTAGCTTATTTCACTTACTATGATATCCTCAAGAGTCTTTTTAAAAGCTGAATAGTATTCTATTGTATGCATATACAATATTTTGTTTATCCACTTATCTATCAGTAGGACATGGGTTGCTTCTGACTTTTGGTTACTGTGACTAATGCTACTGTAATGTGGGTGTGCATATATCTGCTCAGTCCTGAGCCCAATCCCAAGGCAGTAACTATTGGGGTCCAGCAGAATCCCCAGGGCCTTGACTTAAGCAGCTCTCTGCTTTGTCCATAAGCCACAAGTGGGTCTAGTCATATGGCCCTGCCCCTGGGGCCTGACCTCCACAGGGAAGAGGGGAAATACCTCTGTTGACCCCTTTAGGGGCAGTGCTCAACCCTGAACTAGAGGACAAAAAAAAAAAAAAGATGAAAGAACCCTTTAAGGTAAAGCCATGTTGCAAAACCTGATGTTTCAAATGAAACAAAAACTTATATATATATATATATATATATATATATATATATATACACATATATATATATAAACTTCCTGAATGTCAAGGATTTCAGGAGAACTTCCCAAGAAATAAGGCCACTTCTGCTTCAGGCCACAGGGCTCATAGGTGTTAATCAGTTTTGAGCAAGAATTGCAAGGCAAACAAAAGTTTTATTTTGTTTTTAGAAATTGCAATTTGAGAGACAGATTTAGGCAGAAATCCAACTGGGTTTCCAGGGAGAAAGAAAGGGACAGAGTTTATAAAGACATGAAAAGGGTCACTTCCAAAATTATTACACAAGTTGCTTTGAAAGAGGCGTGATTGATGCTGGCAGGCAGACTACAGTATGCTGTTTATGATTAATCACTAGGTGAAAGATTTTTAATAGGGAGCTTAGTGATGCGGAGCCAGTTCCAGGAACTGTATCAGGATGTAGCCTTTTGGGTTAGCCCAATTTAAACATTCAGTTTCAGATGGAGGAAGTGTATTATCTCAGCTTGTTGGAGATCTCTAGCTCCATTTTAGTTTGCTCTCTTGACAATACCAACTCCATTTTATAGCTTTTCTTTCATACATGACACAGGTCTTCTCTAGAGGGGCCATGTCTAGGCCTGAGAAGAGGGAAAGGGTGGCTGAGGGAAACTCTTTTTATATGTAGATACCCACCAAGAGCACTACATGGGTCACTGCTTTACAAGAATATCTTTACCAATAAAATAAAATAAAATAAAATAAAATAAAATAAAATAAAATAAAATAAAATAAAATAAAAATAAGAGAATACCTTTACCAGGACTGCAGTTGACTTTTGAAGGCACCAGCTCAGCTCTGCATGTATTACCTACTCCTTGATGTATAAATTATTCTACCTGGGGCTCGGCTGGCATGACTCAGTGGTTGAGCATTGACCTGTGAACCAGGAGGTCACAGTTGGATTCCCGGTCAGGGCACATGCCCGGTTTGTGGGCTCGATCCCCAGTGTGGGACATGCAGGAAGCAGCCGATCAATGATTCTCTCTCATCATTGATGTTTCTATCTGTCTCCCTTCCTTTCTGAAATCAATAAAAATATATTAAAAAATAAATTATCCTTCCTGGAGACCCAGACTGCTCTCCATGCTGAGGAGTTGGATGGCAGGCAGTAATCACCGTCCTTGGGAGAAGTGCGTGGTGATGGACACTCACATGGTGTGGAACTGTCTCATCCCTATTCTGCCTAACCTGGAACAAGACCTGTAAGGGAGAGATGAGAGAGTCAGAGGGCAGTGGGTGTATGAATGGAGGAGAGAGAGGTGGTGATTTTTCGATATCTCTAAAGAAAAGGCATTTTCTTTGCCTCAATTTGGGGAACAAAAACTGGAGTTCAGCAACTGCCAAAGAAAAAGGGCTATGAACAGTGAGGTGTAGAGATTGGCTGTGCAATTTGTGAAAAAAATATGATGAAGTTATTGAAAACTGTTCCTTGCAAGAAGTCCCAGGAGTGGAAAAGATTCGAGAATAAAAGCAGTCCCAAAGCATCATAAATCTTCTGAGAATGAAAAATTATATCAGCCAAGACTGGTTTGACTCAATGGATAGAGCATCTGCCTATGGACTGAAAGGTTCCAGGTTTGATTCCGGTCAAGGGCATGTACCTTGGTTGTGGGCACATCCCTAGTGGGAGGTATGCAGGAGGCAGCTGGTCGATGTATCTCTTTCATCGATATTTCTAACTCTTTATCCCTCTCCCTTCCTCTCTGTGGAAAATCAATAAAATATATTAAAAAAATAGGAAATAATACCAAGAAAGGTTTATTGCAAAGAAAACTTGCAGTCTTGCTCTACTTGTTTCCTTTACTCCTCACCCAGAACACTTCATTCTTGAGACTTTTGGTCACCAAATGAGTGGAGGTGTTCCCACAACAAGCAATTCTGTAACAACAGCTAGATATTTTACAATGTAATGCAATTCTAATTCTATCTGGAGAATAGTGTCAGATTCCACAGGTTAAGAGCTCAGTCCCATAAGACTACTTTCCCCTCACTTCAGATGCAAATCACAATAATAGGTCCCCAGGATACCCACAACTTCTGTTTGATTTGGCTAAAAATCTCCGGGTTCCCACAACCACCTCTAATTTGCTAGAGCAGCTTACGGAACTCAAGAAAACTTACCTTATGTTTAACAGTTTACTAAAGGACATGGTGAAGGATACAAGTGACCAGCCAACGAAGAGATACTCAGTGTGAAGTCTGGGGAGGTCCAGAGAGCAGGAATCCTGTCCACATGCAGTCAGGGGCATCCCCCTCAGTACAAGGATGTGTCCACTCACTGGGAAGTTCCCAAATCCTATATTTTAGATTTTATGAAAGTTTCATCATGTAGGCATGATTGATGATTAACTCCATTTCCAGCCTCTTTCACCTCTTTGGAAAATAGGGGTTGGTGGGGCTAAGAATTCTAACCTGCTGATCATGATTTGTTCTTTTTGTCACCCAATCCTCAACCAAGAGCACATCCAGAATCCTCTTAATAGAACAAAAAATGCTCTTAGTGTTATCACTTCGAAATATATATGTTTTCTATTATCTCACAGAAGAACTACACTATGGGAGGAGCTTAAGAAAGTCTTCAGGAACACTCAGGGGTAAAATGAGGGTCCTGACCCCACTCCCAACAGGACCCAGAGACACTCCTGGGGTAGATGAGGGTCTTAGTCTCTCCCCCACCAGGTTCCATAGCTCCCATTCATCTATTTGTTTATTCATTTATTCTCCAATCTCTCCATGCCCCTCTTCCATTTTACTCATAGGAATGCAGACCGTCTTCCCAGGGAGCAGCCTCTCGTGTCCCCTCTGCTTCCATATCTGTGACCATGATCACAGGAGCGTGGCCCTTTGGGGGTGTAAACCCATCCCAGTGTGATAGAACTCCCTCTCTGCACTGCCAAGCACGGGCAGGCCTCACAGCGAGTAGGCCAGCAGGTGCCAGAGGTAGTGTAGAAGACTATGCACTGACCTCTCCCTGACTCTTCTGATATTCCCTGAGATTGTATTGTAGGCTGCAGCCAAGGTCAGAGGTTGACCTGTCTTTTATACCAAGTCCTCAGGACTTAGGGTCCATCGGTATTCCTAAGAGCTCTTGAGACTGTCATCCTCACGCTGTGCTGCTGTGAGGGCAAGCTAGAGGGGCTTAAGACCCCTCCCCAGGCCCTATCAGGCCTGGCTGGGGCAGGAGGAGACAGCCCTGGAAATTTGCAGGGAACAGGTCACGTGGCATGAATGTCCTTGGGTTCAAAGCTTATGTGACGAAGGCTTGGGAAATGTTCTGCCTTCTGTTTGGTGAGGACAAGGAAGGGAGCGGAGAGGAGGAGCTGGACAAGGCGCATGCCCGCGCATGGATTCTGGGGGCAGGGCCGTGTGGGATGGGGAGCTATAGAAGCAGCTCCAAAGCAGCTGCCAACTCAACACTTGCGTGCTGCTGGCCTCCAGGGCTGACGCCAGGCAGCATGCTCCTGAAGGTGCCTCTGCTTTTGGGGCTCATTGCACTGGAAGCTCCAGTCTGCAGTTCCAAGTATGTGGACGTTAGTAAGGACGCGCAGTTATTTGCCATAGGTGTGGAGTTTGCCATGTTTCAGTTCAACCAAGCCCAGGTGGATGAGTATGCTTACAAGCTGCTGTGGGTGGGGAGAAGCCAGCGCAAGGTAAGCTACAACGCAGCCTCCCCGCCCCCACAAACCGGCCTGGGAGGGGTGAGTCTTTGGTCTGCAAATGAGGAAAGGAAGATTTTTTTGTTTTCGGTAAATATATTTTAAAATGCAAGGTATCATTACAAGTGCTTAAAGTTTCTGGTTTTTTATTTTTATTTTATTGATTTTTTTACAGAGAGGAAGGGAGAGGGATAGAAAGTTAGAAACATCGATGAGAGAGAATCATCATCTATCAGCTGCCTCTTGATCATGTCCCAGCCTCACCTCCCCCTGAACACTCCTCTAAGTGTACATGCCCTTGATCAGAATCAAACCCAGGACCTTTCAGTCCTCAGGCCTACACTCTATCCACTGAACCAAACTGGTTTTGGCAAGTTTCTGTTTTGGTTTCTTAACGAGTGAAGCCCCTGAAAATCAGAGTAGAGAAGGAAAGGAGATAGCAGAAAGGAGTGCACCGATGTATAACATTATTTATATGCATGCAGCTGCACATTCATATCTTTTCCCCGCATTTCTATTTCGTTGTTTGTGTTTTACTCCTTAGTTCACATTAAGTATTTATAGCAATTTCTATACTTTCTTTTTGACAGCTGTTTTCTTGGAATTATTTAATGGACTTGAATATGGGCCGCACTGTTTGTAAGAAACATGATGAAGACATTGACAACTGCCCTTTGCAAAAAGGCCCAGGCATGAAAGAGGTTTGAGACTAAAATAACCCAAAGCATCATGAACTTTCTGGAAATAAAAAATAATATCAGAGAGAAGTCTTCATGAATACACCTGGGGTAGATGAGACTTAGCCCCTCTCCCACCAGGTCTCAGAGACACCTCTGGGGTAGATGAAGGTCTTAGTCTCTCTCCCACCAGGCTCCATAGCTCCCACCTTGGAGGGGGGAGGCAGAGAGCTGCTCCTGTAGAGGACTGAGCTGAATCCTGTGTTCCCAGCCTGACTGGCTGAACAGAGACACTTTGACCACATCCTACCTTCCTTCTTGGTTGGAGTCCTCTCCCAGGGTCACAATGTAGAAGTTTTCTGAGACCTCAGGTTCAGGCAGATGCTGTTCTCCCCATGGTCCTCACTCTTTCTTTATTCCTGTCTTTCCGAAACTTAGACCATCTAGTTAGTCTGGTCATTCCATCTCTCCCTCTAGCCTCTTGGGCTGCAAGGACAATCCTCATCAGTCCAAGCCCTTGTTCATTATCCTATGAGATGACATCTGATCCATGGAACTCAGACCTTGTGGATGGGCTCACTTAGGGTGACACTGTCAGAGGGGCTGGTCTTCCCCTTTCACCCAAGCCTTGGGAAAAGCCTCCCCTTGGGGTGGGTTTGCAGCTTCTGCTGAGTGGGTGCAGGTCCACCTGGACCATCTCCTGGGCATTGTGCTGGCTCCCTAGAGTTAATGGGGAAGGGGCTATTAATCATGTGCACTGGGAAACCCCTCAGAGCCAGGTGCTGGCCTCAGCAGGCATCCTCTTAGGACTCTCTGGGCAACTTAGGTAACCACTGCCTCTCATCCCATTTGAACCTTGAGCTTTTAAGTCCACCTCAGGCCACTGTTTTTTTGTTTTGTTTTGTTTTTCCTTTTTTTCCTTTTCTTTTGTAGTTTTAAATGCATCTTGAACTCTTCATGGTAAGTGCTCTCATGTGCTACATGGCTCTGATTTGTCCTGTAATTACATTTTTCAGGTGAACTGCACCTTTCTTGTGGATGCCCGACTATGGATTTCTGAGTTCACCCTCCTGGAGAGCACCTGCATGCCGACATAGGTGGGGAAGGAGTGCCTGCTTCTCACAGCAGAAGATTCTTTTCCTCTAGAGAGTGACAGTTGGTCTGTCTTTGAAGTGTCAGGGAAATTAAAGGCATCTCAGAGCACTTTCTGGGTCCCTGTCAGTTTTGCGTTCTCCTGTTTATTTTCCAGAGAAAGTTCTGCCAGTGGCAGAGAATTTATCACTATTATTCTTACCTTGGCTGCAGTTGCAGAGTGTTGAGTAAATCCAACTTCCCAGTTCACGTGTAGCTTGTCCTTACTGCTTCTTGTAGAGCCCCACTGCTTGCTTGTATATCCATCCATCCATCCATCCATCCATCCATCCATCCATTTATTCGTCCATCCATCCATCCATCAATCCATCCATCCATCATTTTTTCCTTTTGTTCATTTATTCATCCATCCATCTATTTGTTTATTCATTTATTCCCCAATCTCTTCATGCTCCTCTTTCATCCCACTGATAGGAATGCAAACAATTTCCCCCCTCTGGGCCCAGGTCACAGTATGATAGCCTTTTTACAGTATAGGGATGGAAGATGGGGGACAGAAGCTGATTGAAGGCTCTGTCCTCCATGTACACTCATCAGAGAATCTACAAAAAGAGCTTAGTCATCACCAAGAACATCCTCTCATGCTCTCTGAGAAGGCCTATATTGTAGCAGCTCCAATCACTATATTCTCACATGCTCCCTAACACCTCTATTTCTCCATCTTGGCTTAGTATGATGTTTCCCTGGAACAGGCACTGTGGCCACTGACACCCACTGATGAACAACTCTCTTTGCCTGGGTCCTGGGGAGGAGCAGCCTGGAGAGACAATGGAAGGCATGGGAGGGTGCAGAGCATGAATGGGGACAGAGACACAGTGGCAATGCCTTCAGTTGGAATACTTCAGAACCAAGGGCTGATGGGACTTCCTTTATCCCTCTTGGGTTTATGTGAACTCTGATTTAATTGGTCCATAATCAAAAGGCTGGCTCTTTCCTGGCCACCCCATTCCCATGAACTGGTCATAAGGCTGAGGGTATAGGATTTTCCTGGACAGTTGGAGACAGCACAAAGACAATGGCCTGGGCCAGCTTGGGAGTTTTTTTGTTTTTGTTTTTTTTAAACCAATCTGTGTATAGAGTTTGTAATATCTGACCAGAGTTCTATGGGGGCATCTATAAAGTTGCAAGGGCATGTGTGTAGGCAGCAAAGCCAGCCTGTTGCTCACTCCTGCCTATGCTAGCACTCAGGTTCTTAGTGGTTGAGACATTGTTCATGGGTCGAGGACAGGCCAGTTGGCATTGCTCAAAGGTGGCATCACCTTCACCTCTGACTCCCCATTTTACATGGGAAAGGCCTTGTGTCCTGTTCCTTTTCACTGTATTTCACCTTGATTTATATGAAAACCCCATTGGTTTTATTTTACAAATTTCCTAGAGACCAGGCCACACCCCCATCTCTACTATAGAAGAATTTTTGTGACCTGACATCAGAAATATATAAAGCCCCCAGGTGATTGGTACAAGGTCATGTAATTTTTCTCTAAGGATCTTCAATATTTAGAAATTGTGTAAATCACAGTTTGTGTATCTTGTTTGTGGCCTACGTCTTTCCTCTGATTCCCAATCTTACAGAATTACAGGTCTTTGGTAGGGTGATACATTTTGTGCCCTGACATCACTGTCCTTGCACCTACATTAGTAGTTTTTGTATGATGCTCCACTCACTAAGGTCTGTTTGAACCAGGAGTAACCTATCCTGAATCACTGTGTCCTGGAGAGACCTCTCCAGATTCAGTCCAGCCACTATTGGTCCCAAATCAGGAGGGAGTAAAAATACATTTGAAAGTTACAATACGAGCACACAATATGAAAATTGACACATCTTAGAAATTTTTGATTTCCACAAAACCCCCATTGTTTTATGGAATTACCAGATTATTTTATGAAATATATTTGCTACGGGACCCCCCCCCCCTCCTGAAAATGGGGTTTTACTCAAATCCCAGCACTGGAGTCTTTGGGGGAAAATTCAAGGCAGAGGGAAGGAGGTGAAGGAGAAGTAGGAGAATGCTCTCTACACATTGGAAGTAGTAAATTTCAAGTGATGAGATTATCTTCGTGCCTCTCCATCAGCCCTTTTTTCCATTTCTATATCAGGAAACTAGCAACTTGTCTCCTGTGGTTTTCTGAATTCAGCTGAAGGCCTACTGAATCCAGTCCTTTTATCACCGATTTCCCTTTTGACTCTTTGGTTTCCAAGCATAAAGATCATTGTTATTAGCATAGAAACAAAGGCTTAGAAACACTTGTAACTAACCACTTCTCATTTCCTTTCTGTGATGCCCTCCAAATATTATTTTCAGAACAAAATCACCTACCCCGGAAACCACTGTTGTTTGTCCGCTCTCATGTCCTCTCTTATGAGGTCACATTGTCAGCCTACCAATACCATCAGTGGATCAAAACCAACAAATTAATGTCTCAAATCATTACAGTTATCAGGATGAGCCCCTCACCCCATGTCCAATTGACCTAAACTCAAAAGCCCCAATAGCATCTGTCTCAATCTATTCCCAATACTTAGACTCTGTACCATCTCTTTTTCTTCCTTTTCCACTTTCTTCACTGCCTCCCACTTTCAAAATATGTTACTCTTTAAAAGATGACACCTATTATCTCTGAAATTGCTTATATTTTACATAGATCTGTCGTATGGCTTACATTCTGTACATAGCTATTAGATAAATCTAAAATATTATCCAAATCACACAAAGGTTCAAATGAGTTCTATATTTTTTAAATACAAGTTTCTAGAACACATTTAAAAAAAGCTATCAAAGAAAGTACAAGACATGATGGGACAGAACAAAGATAAATAATAGAAACAAACCTGAAAAGCTATCTAGTCAATGTGGTTATCAGATATGGTCTTTAACATACCTAGGATGAATTGGTTCAAGGAATTCAAAGATCAATAATATTGGCAAAGAAGTTGAAATAATCAAAAAGAATGAAAGAAAAGTCCTAGGATTGAAAAATACAAGAACTGAAATGAATAATGAGACAGGCAAGTTAACCTCAGATTAGAAACAGCTGAAAGGAGAATTAGACAACAGGAGGCAGGACAAAGGAGAGGGTGCAGTATGAAAAGTATGAGAAGGTCAATGTGAGATCTGCCTCATAGTGAAAGAAGAGAGAATGGGGCCCAAGCAATATTTGGAAATGTAAAGCCTGATTTATACAGAACTGATCAAAGACATCAAACCATTTTTTAAAAGCAGTATTACAATCACAGTTGTGGAGCAAATGCACATGAATGACCACTGGAGTCCAGACCAAAGTAACATTTAGAGAGCCTTTAATAGCCAGCTGGCTACTGCTCTGCCTTTCTCCTTGCAGAGAGTTCAGAGAGCAGCCCTGACCCTTTGTGCAGAACCACTTTTAAGCACATTAACCACATCCTGTTTTTTCAGAGCAAGCAACGAAAGACAAAACAGTTTCCCCAAGAAATCATCAGGGTCATGCCATTGATGACCATGTTATTCACAGGGTCATCCTGTTCTTCAGAAAGCTGACAGTGTTCTATGAAAGAAGGCCTATGTGTTGGGAAGGGGCCATGAGACCATATCTAAAGGCCTGGCCTGGTGTCAACACTGACAACTTCATCTGGGGCATAGTCCATGGCCTCAGTATTGCTAAAAAATTCCCTCTCTCTAACAACACCATGTAGGATAAGAGAAGAAACCCACACCTTAGCATGAAAAAGTTAAAAATCAAATTTAAGAAGAAAAGTCTTAAAATCAGCAAGAGGTGTTTTATCTTCAAATAAGCAAACATCAGGTTTTCCACTGCCCTCAGATAGGAACCAATGAAAGTCAAAAGATATTGCCATGCATCTTTTAAGTGATTCCTTAGCCAGCAAAAATATCTCTCAAAAATGCATATAAAATCAAGTAATTTTAAACAAACAAGGTGCAATGTAATTATTGCCAGTAGAATTGTTCTAAAATAAATAACTAAAGGGAGTCTTCTGGGCAGAAGGAAAAGATGAAAAAATAGTATAGTAGGAAGAAAGAAACATTCAAAAAAATAAATATGTGGGTAAATCTAGATGATATACTAGACTGTAAAAATAATATTTTACTGAAGATTGTAAAGTATACATGAAGTCATGGCACAAAGCTGGAAGAAGAGTAAATGTAGCTAGAATGATGTAAGTAAACTTAATGCTCTAGTTAAAAGACAAATTTAGTTTATTGTTGGAAAAACAAAAGAAAACATAGCACCCAGCTGGTGTGGTTCAGTGGTTGAGTGTCAGTCTATGAACCAGGAGAACATGGTTCGATTCCCACTCAGGGCACATGCCTGGGTTGTGGGCTCATTCCCTAGAGGGGATGTGCAGGAGGCAGCCAATCATTGATTTTCTGTCCCTCTCCTTTCCTTTTTGAAATCAATAAAATATATGTTAAAAAAAAAAAAGCAAAAAGGAAACACATAATAAATATAAGAAAATAGATTTTGGAAAAATAAGGATGGACAAAAGTATACCATGCCAATGATTATAGTGTAACAGTACTAATAGCCTATAAAATTAATGCTAAGACAACAAGCACACTTAAAATCACGGGGGCTATTATGCTGATGAAAATGTTCACCCGTTTCAAAACTCTTAAAGCAAAAACAGAAAGAAGAAAGAAGAAATAATCAAATACACAATCATAGTGAAAGTAGAAAACACAACCTCCAGAAACTGGTAAAACTGATTGGACACAATATGTCAGTCAGGGTCTCAAATTCTGATAGAGATGTGAATGACACACTATCAAATTGTCCTGAACATCACTGAATCATTGAACACGAGTTCATGGTCTTGTCAGGCGTACATGAAACGTTTTCAGAATTGATCCATGGTATGTCACCAAGTAATTCTCAGAAAAATTCACAGACCTAATACCATGCAGACTATTCTAAAACCACAGTGAAATTAAGGTAGATATCAAGAAATCATTAATTGGAGACTATTCGAGCTGATCTCCCATGCCAAACTGGGCAGGCAAGGACTCACAACCCCTGCCCCTTCCCCCCCACCCGCCCCATCCTGTGTAGGAGGTACTCAACAGATACACTGCTTACAGGAGTCTGCCTCATGGGGGAGGGGCACTGGAAGGCACCTTTCTCCTTTATGACTCAGTTCTCAGTACTTTCCCACTCCTAGATCTTACCCCTTGCCATCTCAAGTGTGCCAGG